CCCCCGGCGGCCCCGCCTTCCTTCCTGCTCGGCTCCCACCGAGACCCACAGTGCTTCCTATTGGGACCACTAGGGCTGCGAGTCCAGAGGAGGGGGCGAGCTGAGGAAACGCATCTGGGAGGTTCCTGGGAAAGGGGACTTGGGGTGGGGACACTGAAAAAGAGGTAGGGACCTAAAGGAATTGCTTCCGGACTCTGCCACATTAAACGGATAACATGGACAGGAGATGCAGCCCAACGAATGTTACTATTTTTGAGTCACTGACGTGAAAGTGATTTGTAGCAGGGCAGAGCCGCGAGTCCTGCACTGCGCGCCCGCCCTCTCCCCCTCTAGGCGCGGGGCGCTAAGTGGAAGGCGCTGAGAGCCTGGGTGGGGGTGGGGGCTGCTGAGCCTGCTGGAGCTCCAGCATGACACCTCCTCCACCTTCACCCGCGCGCTGCCAACAGAGGTGGGGTGGGAACGCTGCCAGGCGAGGAGGGCGGGGTTCCTCTGGAAATGCCGTGGAGAAGAGCTTTCGAACAACCCGAGTGCTATCCAATAATGGCCGCCTTAGCCAGTACCGAGTTCCCGGCCCCTGGAATGTTCCGGCTGAGTCTGCCGGGGGCTGCGTGTGTCTGTGTGTTGGTGTGCGGATAGGGACGGGGCAGAGATTCCCGTTTTGGGTGGGCTTTTGGATTAGATGACCATTTTATAGTTTCTTCTATAAAATTCTGTGGTGAAAAGCAGGGCGGGGGGGGCAAAAAGTTGAGTCGAAGTTTTTCACCTTGGAGAAAAACCACGGAGAAAATCCCAATTTGCAAATCCCCGGAGTCATTATCCTGGGCGTGGGGGGCGGGGGGAGGTGACTGTGGTTCTCGGCTAATGCACCCAGGCTGCCGGGGAGAGAGGTTAGACTTCGCAGAGAACTTCCAGCTGCTGCAAGAGCCTGGGCGCCAGACCGGGAAGAGGACCTGTGGTCGTGGTGTCTCCATCCCTCGGGCACCTCAGTGCAGACCACGCTCCTCTCCGGCCAGGGCAAGGCCCGGGTGACCTGCAGGGACCGTCGCATTGATTCCCTTGGTCTTTGTCTTACACAATCACGACAGGCAGGATGGTGTTCAGGAGCGACAACTCTCCGCACTTTAATATCCGGTCAGCAAAGCTTCAGCCAGCAGCCTGGGGGCCCGGGGCAGGA